CAAGAGGCTTTAAATTTCATTTAATAACTTTTAGCATTTGAAAGTAACCATTTAGTATTTGAAAGTTACGACCATGTAAAATTTAAATCCCCCTCCTTTTGGGTAGGACTAAAATGTTACATGATAATAACTTTCGATAACTTAAAAGTTATTAAATGAAAATCCTATCCATGAATTTAAATTTAGTATAAGGTAGTAAAAAAACTATTTTATAAACTCATTGCCCTCATTAACTTCCCTATCAACTAATTAACACATTTGGGGTAACTGGGGTGTTCTTTTTAGTGTATTTTTATTCCCCGGCTCCAAGAAAAGTTTCTAATGAGGGTAGGTAATAAAGCTGACTTATGGCTTTTTTCTTGCTCTAACCATTTATATACTTTTTTTATACTTTTGTACATTGGAAATATTAAAGTAAAATAAACTAAACTAATGACTGCAACTTTTTGCTTTCTCATTTGACATTAGCGTGGAAACGCCTAAGTTAGGAGTTTGCATAATGCTTAAAAATGTCACTTCTAAAACATCAATAAATTTTATCTAAGCCACTTACCCAAAAAATGACATATCAAAAAAAAAAATTTAATAAATTGAGTAACACCGTTGTGTTTTTCTTTAAAATATAGAAAAAGAATAACTTGTTGTAGTGGAGTTATTTCAACAATGCAATATTACCCTCTAAGTCTTTTTTTTTGCAGTAAGAGAATGGTATTATGGAGTAATAGAAAATTGATACATTTAACCTTGGGACCTTTCCCATTTCTCATAATGGCTGATATTTGAACTCTAGTTAAAGCATTTTTTCACAGCTTGATGACTCATAGCTTTATTCGTAAGCAATATCCCCCAATTTTTTTAAACCATTAAAATTGCAATAGGATAGCCTTCCCAAAAACAATAAAACACCTTGTGGGAACTTTATATGTTTGAGATGTGTTTGATTAATTACGTGAAATGTATTTAAAGTAGGCCCCTTTTAAAGTAGGTTAATTCACGCAAAAATATACGCAAGCGATCGGACGAGTTATATTTTCTTCAATAAAATATCTTAAAAATTTACATAACGTAAGTTAAAAAGGATTTTAATACGAAAATTATAGAACAAATGGTTCATTTACTATTAGAAAAACAAGGAAACACAATTATAGAAGAAACTAAAAAGTTACTAAAAAAGCAAGAAAAAAGTTTTACGGCAATTACGACTGCTAATATCAAAATTATTACCGGAAGATTTGAAAAACTTGAATCAGACATTTTAAACAACTCGACAAAAATTGCTACTATAACAAATTGAACTAAATGAAATTAAGTAATTTATTCCTGTCAATGATGAAATAGTGTCATCAAAATTTGAAATAGTTAAAAAGAAAACAAAGAAAATTAGCAATCAAGTTAAAGATAGGAGCAATGTGAACAAAACAAACAACAAGTTAAGGGAGATAGAAGACAGATCGAGAAGAAACAATTTAAGAATAAATAGAATAAAAGAAAGCACGAAACATGGGAGGATAGAGAGTTAAAAGTGCTCAAATTATTCGAAGAAACACTTGAAATTAAAGATGTTAAGATTGAACGGGTACATAGAACTGGACCAAGAGGTGAAAACAAAAATAGAACAACAATAATTAAACTTTTAAACTATAAAGATAAAACTGATATTATGAAAAGATCTGTAAAGGAATGAACATTTATATAAATTTCATTTTGAAACTGTCTAAATAAGAAAAGATTTGAAAGTTGAAATGGTTAAGCCACGTAAACTTAGAAAATAAGAGTTTATCTCTTATGACAATCTTATGGTACGCGAATGGTCTGAAAAAAAATTTGACGCAAAAGGTTGCCAAGTATAATTTTTTTATTTTTATGCCTAATATCAAACGAGATTTTTTTATTTTATTAAATTAATTTACTTTTTTGAATGAAAGTTAATTTTGCATTCATTTTTATGTTTTATTCTAAACGAAATTCTTTTAGCTCTTTTTTTTAAAACGCAAAAATGAACTCAAAACTTCTAAATAACTTTGAGTTTAATTCTTTTAATTTTTTTCAAACAAAAAAATTTTTTACAAACAAATAAACTGATCCTTATTCAATTTATCTAAACGAAGCAGGCGATTTTTTAAGCAATGGCTCGTACTTTTACAACAATGAACAACAATGAAGTGAAGGAATTTCTTAAACGAGATCACTTAAATGTTATACATTTTAACATAAGAAGTTTAAAAAAGAATTTTGAAATTTTTAGGAATAATATTGAGGAAACTAAGGATAAGTTCAGATAAGGCAAAATCTAACTCAAATCTCCATCTTCCTGGTTTTAATCATGTGCCTTAAGCACGCAAAACTAAAAAACGAGGAGGTGGCAGTGCCGGATCAAGTGAGCTAGGGGGGCTATAGCCCCGGGCCCCACAAATTTAGGGGCTCCAGAAAATTTTAGAGGACCTTTTTTTTTTTGAGTCATTTTTAGGCTCTGGCCTATAAAAGGCCTCCAAAAACAGAAATAGCGCTGGGCCCCAAGAAGTCTTAATAAGCCACTGGGAGGTGGAGTATTTTTTTATGTGAGCGAAGGAATGCGGTTTATAAATAGGCCAGATATGAGTATTTCTGATGCCGATAAAGAGGTTTTAACAATTGAAATTTTAGCCAAAAAAACTAAAAATATACTTATAAGTTGCTATTATCGCCCACCATCAGGTAAAATAAATAGTTTTGAGTCATTTAATTACCAACATCATAAAAAAACTACAATAGAAAAGAAATTAAACTACATAATTGGTGACATAAATTTAAACGCATTCAAATATCACTTAAATTGCAAAGCTACTGAGTTTTTTAATTATTTATTTGAAAACGGTGCATATCCGTTAATCAAATGATGTTTTAATCAATAAACCAACAAGAGACAACAACGGACACTTTTAATGAGTCCCTCAAAAAGGGTTTAATTAAAAGCGATGCTTCAGATCATTTCACGATTTTTTTCTCAATAAATATTGATACTGAGTTAGTACCGAAACAAAATCAAGTTTACTTCAAATGATGTTTTAGTCCAGCAAATATAATGTCGTTTAATGAGCAGCTGATTTTACTACACTGGAAACATATAAATTTTTCATCTGAAGCAAGTTTAGTTTATAACTCGTTCTTTAAAACTTTTTTTGAAGTTTATGACGCCAACTTTCCTTTAGGCGAAGTAAGTCAAAAAAAAAAGCATTAAGTCGCCATGGATTACCAAAGAACTTAGAAAATTGTCTAAAGTTAAACAAAAATTGTATATTAAGTATCTAAAGTAAAAAAGTGATAAAAATAAGGCGATTTATAAAAATTACGTTGAATGTCAAAGAAAAAACTTAAAAAATACTACTCAAGCCTACTAGAGAAGATTAAGCTTAACTCTACCTTAACTGAATATTCTTAATATATACCAGCAAAATGTTTTTAATGTCCTTTTATTTATGCACAAATATAAGAAAAACCTAACCCCCTATATCTTTTCAAAATTTATATTCAATAAAGCAAAAAAACAAATATAACTTAAGAAATGAAAATCTTATTCATCAACATTACTCTCATACAAGTTTTGGAAGATCTCTTTAAACATATCGCGGAGCTCTTCTGTGGAACAAAATAGTTGAAAAAGCTGAAAAAAGTTATCTTATCAATTGATAATATCTTTGAGTTCTTTTGAGTTTATGTCTTTTAAAAAAGTGTGTGATTCCTGAATATATTGTTTTATTTTGAAATATTTAGATTTATATGTATTCTTTATGTTGTTAAACGTTATTTTATGTTTTGAAATATCTGGTTAGATTTAAATTTTATTTCTAAACGTCAATTATTGTAATTATTTAACTGCTTATATTTTTACTTCATTGTTAAACAGTTTTCAGTGACAGGATCTTACGATCCTCTTTGAGTCTCCGTGTTCTGATATTTAATGTACAACGATATTTATACCATAATATATTGTAATATGATAAAATAATAATAAAAAAAAGGTCCCAAATTCGAAAATGTGCGATTATGATTTTTAGGCAAAGGAAGAGTTTTCCTTAGTTTTTTTTTTAACTATTCTTTTTGAGATTTCTACCTATACATCACTAATACAAAAACAAACTTAGAATGCAGTTGTCTCATTGCCTTTAAATTTAGTTTAAAAACCACAAAATCCCAAAAATGACATTCTAAGTGTTAAAAGGTCAACAGTTTGTCCGACTATAACTCAGGAAGTATAAATATTTAGAAAAATTTACAGGCTTCTTTCTTAGCCTATTAACATTATTATATATAAAAAAGAGCGTGAATGAAATATGTTAATTTTATGCTAACAGCACTTTTAACTGGTTTTTCAGAAAATGACTCTTAATACTTGAAAAAATAAACAAAGCTTTTATATTTTTTCTTCTTTTGTTTCTTGACTTTTTTATATTCTTTTCATCTTAATGCCTTCTTAACTCCATGTGATGTTGATCACGTTTTAGTTAGGCTTTTTTGAATAAGTAACTTTAGATTGGGAAATACTTGACTGCGGACGTGTTTAGCGTCACATCGAGTGTCCAAGAGATCAAGTTTCAGTAGACATATCATAAAAGCGTTGAAGAACTTTTTTTATTAAATTTGACAAAAAAAAAACAAATTATTTAACATTTTTGTCATCACTACACTCCAGCTTATTATGACATCTTTGTGACGTGTTAAAAATATTTACTGTAATTTTTTCATTTTTTCATTTTCATTCAAATTTTCAAATAGTGTTTCCATGGTTCCCTGATTTGGCCGCCCGTGGTTTTTTAAAAAAAAACTTATTTTGATAGGGTCTATTATAAGTATATATTTTTATAGGCTTTTTTTTTTGTGTCAAAAAAAAAAAAAAAAAAATGAAAAAATGTTTAATCTAATGTTTCCTAATGTTTCGAATCTTCTAACAACTATCTATTATTAAAGTTAGCTGCATTTTTAAAATTCATCGTAAAACACTCTGTTAGTCGAAACCGCATTAGACCATGCGTTGATGTTGCTTTTAAGGAGGAAGTAAATAATAAGGAAGTTATATTTATTTAAAACAAACACTCCTGGTTTAATTTTGTTTGCTTAGTATTTTTGATATTTTATGAATTAAATACTGTACTGGACCAGTTTATTTCTGGAAGATTCTATTTGGCATAGTTTTGAGGGTTTGAGAGTTTTTTACTTTACATAACTTCTATTTCGTATAACATAATTTTTATATTATTTTTCTGTTATGTTTAAAATTGTTTTTTCTTTCCGAAATGTTATGAGAAGGAAAAATTCTATATAGAAAAATTAATAGAAAAAAAAACCCACATACGTTCTGATGTAATTTTAGCAGAGCATATTTTGCCTTATGTTTTTCTTATATAATAATTTTATCTTTTTGTACCATTCCTAAAAAACAATTCGAGCAAGATATAGTAAATATTTGAGTAAGATATAGTAAGATTATAGTTAATATAGGATATGAAATAATATCAGTATAGTAAAACTCAAATAGTTGCTGTTTTTTATATTAACAAAAAAACAATTTTTTTTATTAAATCTTCAAATTTGTTATTGATTTTTATGGTAAGAGTACTATTAAACAGATTTTATTTTTTGTCTCTCGGTTTTGTTGCAGAGTTTTAAATTTTTGAAACTAATAAAATATTTTTTGATTACAAGTTGCTAAAACATACCACTAATTGCAAATCTACAAAGTTTCTGTACTACTAAACAAATGTTTCTATATTTTTAAAATTATTTTTCAAAATGGCCTTTAACTCAATAGTAATAAAGTTCTGTTTTTGTAATCAGTAGTGTAATTTTACTTTTAATACTGTTTTATTAGTTTGCTATTATACTTTATATAAATATTTTTATTTATTATTAATATTAGTCTTAGTATTAGAATTAGTTTATGCTGTGACTGGCATTGCTGTCAGCGAGTGTAGTTTTAAAGCACACAATGACAATTAAGTCTTGTGATGGTTTGACTCCAATCGATCAAGTCTTGCTTTAAATGAATTTACTGAATTAGCTTTAACAACATTTTGTGGGGGTGCATTCCAATAATTTGCAGATTTAATTATATACAGAAAATTCTTTAGAATACTTTAGGTTATGGCCGCGAGTACAATTAGATTTGAAGGACTTATTTTCTTTAAATTCAACTTTATCATAACCTTTGAAAATTTTATACAGTTGAATTAGGTCACCTAGTTGTCTTCTTTTAACTAGTGAGGGCATTCTAAGACAAGTTAGTCAATCTTCAAAGCAATATACTATTATTATTGATAATAATAGTATTATCAATAATAATAGTATATTGCTTTGAAGATTTCTACCCAAGGGCTATCACAAAGAAAAGCATGGAAAGAGTCCCAGTCAGTTTTAAGGTAGTTGTAAGAGATACAATGATAAGGGGGTGTCTGATGATAAAGAAGAATGAAATATTAGTTTTAGAGAGATGAAATCGAAATCAGAAGCACCTATAAATAAATGTAGAGAAACTGAGCACTTACTAGGATCAGAAACAAAACATAAGTCGAGTAAGGAAGGTAAATGATTTGAATTGTCTGAAAAACGAGTTGGAAAGTTTACTATTTGTGTTACAGATTGAGAAAGACAAAAGCTGTGGGCCTTAACACCTGTAGAAACATTGACACTGGAACCAAGCTAAGCACAGATAGTACTCAGTCCACTATTTAACAGTCCAAGCAATTGCCTCATTACTTTTAACAAACCTAAGCTTTTTTAAAATTATTTTTAATATGGTTTAAAATTAAACTTAATTACAATAAGGTACTTTAACTTTGCATTTGCAACTCTGTTGAAAAGGAAATGTTACCTCAAAGGATTTGAGGTAACATTTCCTGATTGACTTATTGCCTTAGGCTTAGCAACTCTAACTGAGAGAAAAAAAAGGGGAAATTTTAATAGCATTAAACAAACTTATAAATGGTATTGTCAAGATAAACAGTGCAAAATGTTTTCCACTTAAAAACTGTTTAAGAATTAAGATTACTCTAAATACCATAAATAATTTGCTAAACTTCCTTTGAGGTAACATTTCCTTTTCAACAGAGTTGCAAATGCAAAGTTAAAGTACCTTATTGTAATTAAGTTTAATTTTAAACCACATTAAAAATCATTTTAAAAAAGCTTAGGTTTGTTAAAAGTAATGAGGCAATTGCTTGGACTGTTAAATAGTGGACTGAGTACTATCTGTGCTTGGCTTGGTTCCAGTGTCAATGTCTCTACAGGTGTTAAGGCCCGCAGCTTTTGTCTTTCTTGGATTTAGTTATTGATTTAAGAATCTTTTATTCCCTCTAGACAATTCTAAGTCAGCCCTCACTCTTCCCCATGGTTTTCCTATCATTGTGCTGCAGAAATTTCCAACAATTCTCAAGAAAACAGAGATCTGTTTACTAATGCTAGAAACCATTGTAAAAAAGGTTTTGTTTAATGTCAAAGGTTGTTATTCTCAGGTCATAAAATCTTGTATTTCATCTCAAAAATTAGGCTTCAGAGACTTATAGAGAATCTTTAACAGTGTCTATAATAAGGGCAAATCTGCCATTTCTCCTCTCTTGCATGGTTCAGATCTTGTTACCTCACTTAAAGACAAAGAAGATTTGTTTGGTAAGAACCTTTCATCAATCTTATCTCTTGATTCCACTAATCACTTCCTATCTGATATAGCCATCAAACAGGTTAATCCATTACTTGACATATCACCCCAGCTTCTGTATCTAAGGTGATTTCCTGTTTAGATTCTTCTACAGCTTGTGGCCCAGACAACATAGCTGTCACTTTTTGTAGAAGTGTTTTCTGTTGCTGTCATCTATACTTTTAAAATTATTTAACAAGCGCTTATCAGATCCTTGTTTTCTGGTTGCTGGAAAGCGGCATGAGTTATCCCTATTTTTAAAATTCTGTAGAGCGATCTGACTCATCTAGCCACTGTCCAATTAGACTTCTTTCTATCATAAGCAAGGTTTTTGAATCTTTAGTTAATAAACACTTAATTTCTTGTCTTGAATCTAATAAATTACTTTATGATCATCAATATGGGTTTCGATCTTCTTATTCTACTTCTGATTTGTTAACGTATAACTGATAGGTTGTATTGCGCATTAGATGATGTGGAAAGGCTATTTCTCTTGACATTTCTAAAGTTTTTGATAAAGTTTGCCATGCTGGTCTTCTTTATAAGCCCTCTTCTTATGGTGTATCAAGTAACACCTTTAAGATTATTAAAATCTTTCTTACCAATTAGTAGTATGAAAGTTATCCTTGATGGATAGCCCTCCTTCATATCCTGTAACTTCAGGATATGAAGAATAATCTTATATCTAAAGTAGCTTTTTTTGCTCAACTTTATCCTTCTGTCTTGATAAAATGTCTTTTCTTTTTGATTACTTAAAACAGGTAACTGATCTTGAATCTGATATCACTTCTGTAACAGATTGGAGCTCACTGTGGCCTCTAAGTTTAAACTTCAACAAAATTTAGTTATTTACTACAAATAACTATCGCAGTACTGTTGACATTCCTATATTAATGAATGGCAATGTTCTCATTGTGTCCTCTTCTTTATATCTTCTTGGATTATCGTTTACTACTGATTTTCCATGGAAACCATATACACAATCGATTGCTAAATTAGCATCTGCTAAGGTTGCTTCTCTTTACCATGCTAGTCATTTTCTTTCTCCTGATGCCATTCTCTAGCTCTACAAATCTCTTATTCATCCCTGTATGGAATACTGTTGTGATATTTGATATGTATATATATGTATATATATATATATATATCAGGCCTTGTTACGAGATTTCGCTGCGTAACGGAAAAGCGAAACGTGGATAAATGTAACTTTACTCAATAAAGATATTTACATTGTTAAAAGTTAAATTACGTCAGTTGCGTTTTTACTTCATGTAATTAAATTAAAAATGACATTAAAAACTATTGTTAGTCTTTGAAACGAAATAGCTTTAAATTGAACAATGTTGTTATAAAAAAAAAAAAAAAAGTTTTAATGTTGATTAAAAAAAAGTCTTCTTGTATTAAAATCTTATACTTATTTAAACTTAATTTTTTTGCTTTTAAACATTGGTTTTATGGTTGTTGTTTTTTTAAATAATTTAAATTTAACACTTGTTTATGGTTGATTTTCTAAAAGGGATTTAAATGTACTTACAACTAAACGCATAGATTGGGTTTTCCCCTTTAAAAAAAAACAATTGCACTAACTGGTTTTGATAAAATAAATATTGTAAAGAAACGAAATTTATTGCTGTTTTGGCTTTGTTTTTTTTTTTAATTTCCGTTAAAATATTTTATTTTTATGTACAATGAAACCTAATGTATTTTTACTATTTTTTACTCAATCCAAAAAAAATTGAGTTTTCGGTTTTAAGATGTTATGTATAACATCTTAAAACTTAAAATAATCTTAAATCTTAAAATAATGATATTTGTTAAAAACAAATTATAATGATATTTGTTAAAAACAATTTCTGCTTATATATAAGCAGAATTTGTTTTTAACAAATATCATTATAATTTTGAAATTTATGTATCTTATATTTATAGCTCTAGTACTAGTTTTGTTTTTAAAATAAAATAAATATAAGTTGGGCTTTTAAAGAGTTTATTTACTGATCGCATTATTTTTAATAGGTTTGAATTTTGGTTTGTTTTATAAAAAAAATTCTTTGGCAAACGGCAAAGGGAAAACCCAAACATAACATCTATAACTCGAGTTTAAAAGAACTTTTTTGTATTGATGTCATTTGTTAACTTGTAGTTATAAAATGAGTAATGCGCTTCTGTATATAATGAATGAAACTGTAAAATAATGGAAAAATAAAAACTGAAAAATAATGCGCTTTTGTTAAGCGCATTATTCAGACCAGTATTTGGAATGTACCTGAAACTTAACTGAAATTAAAATAAAGTTATATGTAATACGAACATTTTAAAGTAACTTGAATTAAATTTATTAAATCTTTTTTTACTTTGAAAATTTTATCATAAAAAAAACGGAGCATTTTAAAATTAAAAAATTTTAAATTGCTTTGTTTTAAAATTAAATGAAAAAATTTTAATTGAATTTAATAAATTTGTTTACTAAAAACTATAATTAATAAAAAAATATTTAAATTTAATAAA